TTGTACACTATCTGTGTGGAGGTACTGATTTATAGTATGACCCTTCAAACTTGATATTCAAGGTTTATATACAGTTCATGAACAGTTCTTCATTTTGAAATATTTATACTTCGTGTCCAGTGTCTCCTGTTCTATTGTTGGACTTCATTGGAATGATCATTTTAAAACTGTTGTACCATCCAATGTGAAATGAAAAGTATACTCCTTTTCACTTTTGTGTACAAAAATACCTAGAATAACAAGCTTCATGGGAATCATTTTAGACAGTCACAGAAATGAATTCTGGCAGTGAGGCTGCTCCTGACAGAGTTCTAGCATCTTGACTCTAAATCTAATTTGAATGAAGAGCATAAGAAGATAATTCCTACTCCTATTCCGCTAATTCCTACTCTTTTCTGTGGTTTTGCTACTAAAACAATTAAGAAGAAGCTCTAAGATCAAAATCTAATGATTGATTTTGAAATAAGAAACTCTTTGGGGATTGTGATTCTAGTATCATCTTTGCAATCAAATTTTAGAAACTTGGCAATGTTAGGAATAAGGTGTTAATCAGGGTTGGGGATTATAATATCATTTGCTTTCTCATGAATGCAGAACAAGATCATTTTGAAAATATTTAAGGTCATATGTCAGGCATAGTTTTAACATTCTTTTTAATGATTTTAACCTTAAAATTATTTTTATACACAAACTTATTAATTTATTAAAATATTCAAGAGACAGATCATATATTCCATTGATTTATAAAAAAAACTATCTCATGACATTCTACATGTGTTTTCAATTTTAGCAGTTCAGACTTTTTAAGAAAGTAATCATAGCTCTCGTACCATTCAAATTTACCTGTAAATCAACCATGATCATTATACTCATTCCTGGGTTAACCACTAATGAGTACATGGTCAAGGCACCAAGGGAAAGGGGGCACCTCAGAGATTTTTCTCAAGTTATCATGCCCTTAATTCTCTCACTAACATATTTGACTTTAGTTTTCGGCACTTACTGAACATAATGTCTTGCTAGTTAAGCAATGGGAGGGCTAAAGAATACCATTGTTGGGCTGTGCTTAAGGCATCACTTAGATTTAATTGTGATTAAACCATGATTATACCTTATAAAGTGAATGTTGACTTTTCCTTTAAAAAAAAAAGATCATGGTTGCCTACACTGGCCACTTATCCATATATATATAAAAGAAGTCCTTGCAGATTTTTAGTTGTTGTCCCTCTACATTCTGAATTTTCTATTTTACAGAATTTGAAATTTAGTCACTTTTGATTGTTTCATTAGGCGAGACAGTTTGAAACAGGGAGGGAAAAGGATAAGCTAATATTTTTATTTGACTCAATTTCCACATTTTTACAAAACTGAGTATAAAAAGCTTAAAAACAAATTAAAATTCCAACTACCATTGCTTAGTAATTAAAAGCCTGTTTAAAACGATGAGCTCCTTTTGTTTTCTAAATGCAATATCTGGCAAGAGGTCAACTATACATTTTATAAGGTGGGAACAAGATGGTTCAGTAGTGCATATTCAGAAAGATTTCTCCATTGAAACGTAATAGCCAGATAGATGTAGCCATTTAGAGCAGGGGTCACCAGTACCGGGCCGTGGCATGTCAGCAACTGGTCTGCAGAAACAAGCAAAGCCCCATCCGCGAGATGCAAGCAGCACACAAAACCACACACCTTCCGGTCCATGGAAAAACCTCTTTCTACGGAACTGGTCCCTGGTGCCCAAAAGCTTGGGGACCTCTGATTTAGAGCTTTAAAATAAGGTAACTGTGTAATCTATTCCTAGTATGTAGTAATACTGAACTATATTAGCAGTCTAGTGACTGCAGTTTTTATTTGTAAGTTTTAGACATTCTTCAATATTGCAGGAATAAAGATGACACCTAATCAAGATAGAAGAAGAACTTGCTAGATTCAACCAGCTCAGAAGGAGTCATAAGTGGCATACTGCATTCTTCAGAGGTTATACTCTGGATCCAATAAAAATAAGGATATGGGAGCATCCATCCTGCAGATCTGCCTTTTCTTATGAGTATACTATTATTCCAACTAGGGTAGACCTCATCCCCGAGTCCTGTTTCTAAGTGACCAAAGACAGTTACATTTTTTAATGTCTTCCCACAGGAGGTATATACGGTGCTCACAGGATCACAGGACAAAGAAGCACTTAAAGTATGACTTGTAAATAGTATGCTGATTTAAAATTGGTTTGTTTATAAAGTTCACTGTTACTGTAAAAGAGTTAACATCCTGGTAAGTGAAAAGTTTATAAAGGTGATATATGGGAGGTAGGAATTTTGGGTAAGCCAGTGGGCTATGCTTGGCTATTGTTGGTGGTTGAGAGCACATGAGGGAGGAAAGGCAAGACAAAGTGCTAAGAAAATCGGTGTGTGAAATTTGCCAGATTGAGAACTGCTGATAGTGTGAGAGAATTTTATCATGCTTACCCCATAAACCTGCTCAAGCATCCCCGTAATTTCTATTTTAGCAGAAATCCAGTGCAACAAAAAAGAACCAAGTTTTATTTCTGCCAAATTGTAATTCATCTGGAATAGGTCAGTGAACTTCCAGAACACAAAGCATTTGCTTTGAGTTAGAACAAAACACACTTTTGGGCCCATCCCTATTTAAAAAAAAAAAATAATCAAGTAATAAGAGGAAATAACAAAACACTACATTTGCCAATAAAATATCAAGAATTAAAACCAAACTAGGCACAAGAATAAGTTTTTCTCTAGAGAATGACAGCTAATTTGAGAAAGGTTTTTTCTTTCTTTTTTCTGCCATCTGAAACCATTTTATCAGTAAAAACAGAGTTTAAAGTATCATAACATAATGGATGTAATGAAAATCATAAATTTATTATATATTTTTATTATCAGAAAGTAGTATTAGGGAGGAAAAAAGATAAAGCAGGGCACAAGATATTATTTTCAGGAATATGTAAATATTGTTTGCCTTAAATTGATATTCTGAAAAACTAACAACTCGTACCTCATGGAACTTAACGTCCATTTCAAGCAAATATTTTCAATCCTGCCAGTGATTCCTACTGATTCACACTAATATCAAGTACTATTAAGTTATCTTAGATTTTGTAACATAATCCCGATTGAAAGCCCCTCCTTTTTAAAAAAACCTTACTTACTGATGGAAAAATATAATACGTTTGAAAAAAGATACAATTAATTTAATATTAAATATTAATAATATTGAGTTTTGAGAAGTATATTCATTGAAAATTCTTCTTATTAAATGTTAGAATTCCTTTCACAAATCTGAAATCCATTTGGGAATTAGATTTTCAGATTTCTAACTGATAAAAAATTATGTTTTATATATGCATGATTATATGTGAAAAGAACAAAACATCTCATTCCAAGAAAGCAAACTATGTGGCTGTAGATCTTATTCAAACAAACTAAACACTGTCGTGCATGCTGACTACTGACTTTTTATTCTTCCTTTGAGAAATTTATCTATTTTTTTCAGCATGATAATTCTCTCAAACTGAGCTAAAGACAATCAAATTCAAACTGGAGGAGGGAGAGGCAATTAAAAAAATACTGAGTTCCAAAATGGCCAAATCACGATTGAAGAAAGAAAAATATCTCCCAGTGCATCCTGGGAGAGAAAGGTGAGCACAGATTCTCTTCTCTATCCCCTGCTGATCATTTGTCTCAGAGCAAGCCTGTTATTCATGCTGTTTTGGAAGAATATAGAGCATATAGAGCAAATCATGCTCTATATGGCCTTGCCCAATTGTATTTTAGGCAGGCAAAATGCATCATTTATAGCTCAGAAAAGCTGGTGGATTTTTTTAAAAAAATAGTGAGGACCTAAGGATTCCCTTGAAGGGGCTGAATGTTTAGAAAGAACAATGGAAGCTTTTTGAGAGGCAAAGTAAAAAGATAAGCAGCGTCTAGCTTGGTTGATCTTGAAAAAGCTATATTGTTCATAATTAGCATTGTCAAGGAGACAACAGTTAGTTCTCGATCTACAACAATTCATTCAGTGTCCATTTGAAGTTACATCACAGAAAAAAGTGACATTACCATTTTTCACACTTATGATTGTTGCGGCATCCCCATGGCTGCTTCACAACTGACTTGTATTTATGACAGTCACTGTATCCTAGAGTCATGTGATTGCATTTTGCAATTTTCTGACAAGCAAAGTCAATGAGGAAGACAGATTAATTGGCTGTGTTACTAACTTAACAATTGCAGTGATTCACTTAACAACTGGCAAGAAAGGTCATAAAATGGACAGACTCACTTAACAAATGTCTTAGCAAAGAAATTTTGGGTTCAATTTGAGTTGTAAATCAAGGACTACCTCTATCAGAAAATAGCAGGCCTAGAGGTGAAAAAAAAAAACAGAAAAATGCTTTGGCAAACTAGTCCTGTATCATTGCTCAGAAAGTGGCTTATATATATATCAGAGCTGAACTGAAAATACACATCAACAAGATTGCCTCTCTTTGATAACAAAGGGACAATGAATTTCCTGACTCTATGATGTCTGCTTTTGGTTTTCAATTTGTTGGTAAATAAAACCAAAATATTATTAACAGTTTAATTTTTTGGTGATTTCTTTTTCTGGAGAAAATCAAAATACAAACAAATGCTCTCTTGAAATCCCTGAAGATTCAGGAACACAAAGACTACTATAACACAATATATAAACATTTGAAAAACTGACTGTGGTAAACTAAACACTGATTAGAATGATCCAATATAAAAGTCAGCATTTAGAAGCGATGTTAAATAGCAGTATATTTCATTCTAGCTCAATCTTGTTTTAAACAATAAAATCTACCATTAAAAAGGCCACAAACCACCAGAAAGAAGAAAAAAAAACTCTTTTAAGTCACACAAAATCAGTGTTTACTTTTTTTACAAGACTTTTAAATAATATCATATTTTTTCTTTCCAACATAAACCTGCTGTTCTGCCCCCCCCCAAAAAAATTTTTCTCTGCAGTTTAAATTTTAATATGAAATATCTTTTTGAAAGCCTTTTTGAAGTTTTCATTACAGAGTGGATATATAAATGGATTCAATGTAGAATTCACATAGCCAAGCCAAATTGTAAACATGTGAAAAGGACGGTTATAGCATATTTCACAAAAGGCCATGACCATAAACAATACAAAATATGGTATCCAACATAGCATGAAAACTGCCATTATGACACCTAATTGTTTGGCAGCCTTTCTGTCCCTGTTCACGTGCAGCTTTTGACTCTGGCAAACAGAATGAGTACGTAGCTTTCCCCATGTCTCTTTCAGGTAACGGAGACTGAGAGGATCTCCTCCGTTAGAACACCTCTGAGGAAAAAGTTGCTCAGGATGAGAATTTTGTTTTAGGGAGGGATCTGAGTGGATTCTAGGCAATGATCCTCCTGCAAAACTCTGCCTATGTGATATTTTGCCTAACTGGGAGATAGGATTTTTTATATTTTCAGCACTGTTACTGACACAGGCATATTTTCCCTTTGTATTGCCCAGCTCAAAATCTTTCTGCATTATAGCTAGAGGGAAACAGTTAAGTTTTATTACTTCATGGTCACTTCCTTTGGGAAAATCCTTCGAAATTTTAACGAAGCTGCCTAATGGAAGTTTAGCTTCCCTTATTTTGTTGTGCTCAAGGCTATCATTTGCACTGAAAGAAAATCCTCGGTCTTTATTTGAACGTTGGGAACAAATCTTTTGCATTTCCGGAATCTTTCCATTATGCACAATCGTGTTATTAGAGTTATATCTGTATAATCCATTTATGAGCTGCCGATGCTGATAATGCTTGCAGACAGCCCTGTAAATGTTTGCATAGAACCACAGCATCAGCAATGATGGTACATAGAAGTTGATTGTGGCTGTCAAGACTTTAAACCAAGTGGTTCTACAAAAATCTGTTTCACACAGTTTTTCATCATAAGTTCTATTATTAATTGTCATAGTACTGTGATCTGTAAATTTACGCCAGCCAAGTATGGGAATCACCCACAGGAAAGACAGCAGCCAAGCTATTGAAATCATGACTGAGGCTCTAGTTTTGGTCCTATACTTGAGATATTTTAAAGGCTGTTGGACTGAACGGTAGCGATCTACACAGAGTATGAAAAGGCTGAATATAGAAGCTGTGCTGGCTACGTAATCCATTGATAGCCAAAACAAGCAAGCTTCTCTAGTCAAAATCCACTTATCCTTCAACAAGTATACAATGTTTAGTGGCATCACAGCTGCACCAACCACAACATCTGCACATGAAAGACTGACAATATAAAGATTGCCAACTGTCTGTAGTTTCTTTTCTGTTTTCACAGCATATAGGACCAAAATATTCATAACCACTGTAATCAGTGAGATGGTTCCCAAGAATAGTCCTAGAACAGGTTGCATCTCTGTAGAATTCCTGTTTGTGCTTCTGTCTACCAGACACATCCTTTGGCTCAAGCTCAATGAAAAAAGACCAAAAAAAAAAAAAAAAAAACCCCCTCTTCAGAAGTTCAGTCTTGTCTGGCGAACTGTTGGGTCAGTTTCTTTGATGTCTTTGATCAATCTGAAAATTAAAAGAAAAGTTTCACTACTGCTGTTTCTTGCCGTTTTTACAGCTAAAGAAATAAAAGTGAGAGTGAAGTCAAGAAAAAATATTGCAAAAATATTACATAGTAGGAGCTTGCCTCCAAATTTCTTATCCAAATATCTTACATCCAGAGCCTTCCAGGCCATATGGTATTCATCAAAAGTTTAAACCACCGGTCCCCGAGCCAAGTGGAAGCTTTCCTCTTAGTCTCCATTCAAAAGAGAGGATGCTGGGCCTGAGCATTTCCAGGACTGTGATAATTTTAAATCTAAGGTCCAGAAAGCAATGTTATTTAAAAGGAATCACAACCTGAGATATGACAGCTGTCAGCTGCAATACATGATGTGAGAGATATGTAATGCTCACACTATCAAAGCCTGTGAACAATGAACAGGAGAAATCCTGGTATGCAACTCAGTCAGAAATGGTTAACCACTTCTTTGCACAGATGTGCACAGTAAACAGATGTTAAAAGTGACCTGCCATGCTTGACCTGCTAGTTTCTCTTTATTAAGTTTCAACTCTTTAAAGGGAAATAAAACCATTTAGATATGCTGATAAGAAAATTAAAAATGGAGAATAAACACTATTTATTGAAGAAAGGTAGGAAGTATATCCAAAAGGAACTTAACAACCAACACAATTAATCAAGAGCAAGCCCTATTTATATGAAGTTCAAACTTTCTTAGGTAGGGTGGAACCAAAAAATTAAACCTAACAGAATAGTGGAATCCTACTTTTGAATAGACTCCCTTGTTTCTCTCCATTATTCGTTTTTATGGTGCTCAAATTTGTTCTTACACATATTATTTACTGGCAATGGGAGAACTGATTTTCACATTGTCCACATGACATCTGCCCCTGCAAAGAGTACCCAGGCAGAAATCAAGAAAGGAAATCTTGAAAGGATTCCATTGCATTGTCTCATAATAAACAAAATGCAAGAAGGTATCAGATGTGGTATACAAAAGTCAGTTAATAGCAAGGAATGTTACTTGTTCAATATTTTATGCTGCAAAAAGAAGTGTTACTCCAAGGTCTCACTTCTACACTTATGCAACATTGTCTACCTTTTGATGGTCCTCTTGTGTTTTCAAGAAGTAGTAATATACCAGCAAAACATAAAATATACCAACAGTAGTCCTTGAAATGCAATACCAGACAGTCACTTAACCTCATGGTATATAATTTAGGTAGTAAATCATCAAGGAGTGATAACAACTCATTTCTTGCCAGGAACTGCTGTGCACAGAGTGTTTTCCATCTTTACAGTAGCAAATGAGGATGATCTTTAACGATAGAAAAGTTCTCCCCTCAACCATGAATGCGCTAAATGTATCCACTGGTGCCCAGGCAATTGATGTCAATGCCAGCATCAAGTTTTTGTGTATGATACATAAATTCTCCTAGACTGCTTATGCCAACTCTTATCCCAAAGCATGATAAACTTTCTAAGTCAGCACAACATTTATCAGAGCTGAATAGACTCATACCACGAAACAAAGCATGCTGTGGAAGGCTACATTTTATGCTAAACAGACTTCAAACCAGGAGCTTTTGCAGCACCCCAGGGATTAGATTAGTCTAGTGATGGTCCTCCTTTCCTAGCAATGTCTTATATACAAAATGAATTACTATAGCTTTCTGGTAGCAAATAAGAGCCAGTTGCTCCACTATTAGTACAATCAGAACTACTCTGGGCTGTCTTTGGTAATGTAGCCTCAGAAGTTTCTCTTGATGGCCCAATGCAAGCAAGGTTTTTGTTCTTTTCTTAGTAGGTTGTCTCACTTTCCTTCCTGCTTTATTTGCATCCTTGTCATTTATGAAATATAAATCAGTAATTGATGGCTGTGCCAGTTTGATGCATTGGTTAAGGCAGGGGTCCCCACCCCTAGTCTGTGGACCAGTACCGGGCCGTGGCATGCCAGCAACCAGTCCGCACAAACAAGGAAAGCCCCATCCACAGGATGCAGGCAGCACACAAAACCACATCCCCTCCGGTCTGTGGAAAAACCTCTTTCCCTGTAACTGGTCCCTGGTGCCCAAAAGGTTGGGAATCTCTGGGTTAAAGCATCAGGCTACAAATCAGGTTCTAGTCCCAACTTGGCACAAAGTCAGATGGGGAACATAGGAGGAGGAAGGAGTATCATGCGTATTCGTTGCCTTGAGTTACTTATAAAGGCAGGATAAAAACACCTAATAAAAAAAGATATAATCTCAACTTCTTCAGATCTCTCTGTTTTGTACAACAAAAAAATAACGGCTGTGTTCAAACCAAATCCTAAGTTAATATATATTATTATTTCTTGCATTATCATGATTATCAAAAGGTGTTTTGCTCATTTTGATTATGGCTTCTTTTCTATACAACCCCCAAATCTTTTAGATAGCCACATCTAATAGTTCACACTTCTTCCATGCTATAGCAGGGGCATACTCAGTGGTGAGATTCAGCCAGTTCACACTATTTTGGCAGAACCGGTAGCTAATTTTTTGTTGCCCAGACCCAGAATGGACTTCTGGCATCCACACAGAGAAACAATTGTTCACATATTTGAATCTCACCACTGAGGATACTTCTTGTTATCATCTACTTCAGTGGTTCTCAACCTTTTTAATGCCACGACCCCCAACTGGTCATAAGTCGAGGACTACTCAACCGGTCGTAAGTCGAGGACTACTCAACTGGTGCAGCACCGTTTGCAGAATGGGACTTTTGGCGGGCTCAGCAGGGCAGAGACAGCCTGGACAATTCCTATTGGCTTCTGAAAGCCAATAGAATTAGACTCTATTCAAGAGAGTCTATTCTATTGGCTTTCAAAAGCCAATAGAATAAAAGGGAGTAGCACAGCTAAGGAAAAGGGGAAAAAAATGGCGGACTACATTGTTTGACGACCCCCGTGAAATGGTCGTTTGACCCCAAATGGGGTCCCGACCCACAGGTTGAGAACCACTGATCTACTTGCTTGTGATTTGGCCCACAAAAGAAGGATGTAGAATTCACGACAGTGGTCTGAACATGCAAGCCTTTTCCTTAGTGTAGATATTCTCTTGAATTACATACCCAGTACAAAGAATTTCATAATTGGACAATGTAAATGGGTTCTCTATGCCCTTACTATAGCTAAAAGACCTATACTGCAACATGGGAAAGATAAATGTCTGGCCCTATTTATTCAATTGACTGAAGACCTGACTGCATTTGCTACTCAGAGCGCATTGCCTACAGATTTAGATTTCATTTGGCTAAGTATAAATATAAACATGGGAGTCATTTATACAAAATACAGCAGGTTAAAAAAAAGCATGAATGTTATACAATAAGTACTATCTACAAATACACACACATCTGCATAATCTCTGTATTAAATAATTTTATACATATAGTTGTAACTGTTTCTGTTGTAATGACAAATTATACTCTGAATTTTCATTTTTTTCTGTTGTATTTTCACCTATTTTTAATCACTATATTCTTTTTTTGATAATGATTTTTGTGTTTTTCTCCTACTGTTTTTTTTCTCTTTTTCTGATACTGTTTTAAAAGATGGTAGGGAGGGAGAAAGGGGGGGGAAGGAAATCTGGTGGGGGGAAAATGAGGTAAAATAAAAGATTTTATTTTAAGATTTGTTTTTGATCAATTCATGCTCATTTCTGGTAATTACTGCATTTGTCCAATGTTCTTACAGACTGATGTCTGAATGAATTACTTAGAATCTCCCCCCCCCCCCAAAAAAATGATGTCATTAGTCTGCAAATTGCTGAAACTTTCTTTTCCTCTTTTTTGAAATTAGGGGCAATATTTGTTCTTTTTGGCATTTCACCAATTCTTCAGGATTTCTTAATAATAATACTACTTAATCATTCAGGCCATCTTTCAGAACCTTAAAATACAATTCTTGTAGTCCTGGAGATTTAAACTCATTCAGAGTAATTAGGTATTCCTAATTACATTTCTATCACTCTCAGATTTCAGTCTTGTTCCTTCATCCTGTTTTTCACAAACACTGAATCAAAGAATGCTTGAACAGCTGTGCCTTCTTTTTGTTATCTCTTAGGATTTGTCTTTATTTCCCTTTTATTTTGAATGCTTCTAAAGAAATTCTTTTATTGTTTTAGCATCTTTTGTTAATCTTGGCTCATTCTGAGTTTGCTTTCCTGACACCAGCTCCATAATTTTAGGCTGTCTATGCTATTTCTGATGGGGACCTCTGTTCATTTTCCATAGGCATTCTATGCACACTATTTTATTTTTCAATCATCACTTTTTATGTAGCTACATCTTTTACTGTTTTCAATTCCTTTCCCTCCTTCCTCCCCCCTCCCAGAATTGCTTACAATTGGTCTTTTAGAAAATTGCTATTCATCTTCGCTTTCTTTTTCATTAACTTTTCCAGCCACTTTTTATCACTGCTCTAAATTTATTAAAATACATTTTAAAGCCATTTTGTAGTGTTTCTTAAAAACCAGTAATTCCAGTAATACATGCTAATTTTCCTCTTATGTTCCTGCTACTACTTTTTCCTTGGCTAAGTGTTTTTTATAAGTTAGTACATTATTGAGTCAATGATATGTGACCCTTTAGGCATTTTTTTGGGGGGGGGGGGTCATTGGTAAACTCTAGTAGCAATATTAGTCAAACATTTGCTGAAAGGGCCATGCCCGTAAGAGTCTGTCTCCCAAGCGATGCTGAAATAATTAATCTAAGCAATTATTCATCAGTGAGATGAGTACACGAGTACACAAGGTATACGACAAGGCGATACAATATCACCCATCTTTTTCTCAGCCTGCCTTGAAGAAATATTTTGCAAACTAGACAGGGCAAAAGATGGGATAAAAATCAATGGCTCCTATTTAAATCACAAGATTTGCAGATGATGTTGTTCTCCTCTCACAAGACCCAGAAGAACTACAAAGACACATACAAGAGTTGCACAACTCAGCTTAAAAATAAACCTGAAAAAAGAGCCAGG